AAACTCTTGGGCTCAAGAGACCTTCCTGCCTCAGCCTCCCAAATAGCTGGGACTACAGGTGCCTTCCACAATGCATGGCTAAGTTTTCTATTTTTTGTAGAGATGGGGTCTAATTCTTGCTCAGGCTGGTTTTTTTTTTAGAGACAGAGTCTCAGTTTATTGCCCTCGGTAGAGTGCCATGGCGTCACGGCTCACAGCAACCTCCAGCTCTTGGGCTTAGGCGATTCTCTTGCCTCAGCCTCCTAAGTAGCTGGAGCTACAGGTGCCTGCCACAACACCTGGCTATTTTTTTGTTGGAGTTTGGCCAGGGTCAAGTTTGAACCCAACACCCTCAGTATATGGGGCCGGTGGCCTACTCACTGAGCCACAGTCACCGCCCTTCAGCTTGGTTTTGAACTCCTGAGCTCAGACAGTCCACCAACCTCTGCCTCCCAAAGTGTTAGGATTACAGGCGTTAGCTACACTGCCCGGCTTAGAATTTTATCTTAACTCTGTGTCTAAAAAGTTCAGCACATAATATCCTTTCTTCTATTATTTTCACCTCTCTGGGCATTGTATTCTTATTTATCTTTTGGTAGTAAAGGCTAGCTGCTACAATATATAGTTTGCTGTCTGAAAGGCCTGTGTTCAAGTCCCAGATCTTACTCTTGCTGGATGTAACCTTGAACAAAATAATCTCACAAGCCTCAATTTTATCATCTTAAAAAGGAGATAACAATGCTTGGCACAGTGGCTCATGCCTGTAATCTTAGTACTTTGAGAAGCTGAGGTGGGTGGATTGCTCCAGCTCACATGTTCCAGGCCAGCCTGAGCCAGAGTGAGACCCCTGTCTCTACTGAAAATAGAAAAACTAGCTGGGCATTGTGGTGGATACCTGTAGTCTACTACTTGGGAAGCTGAGGCAAGAGGATCACTTGAGCCCAAAAGTTTGAGGTTGCTGTAAGCTATGACACCATGGCACTCTACCCAGGGCGACAGCTTGAGACTCTGTCTCAAAAAAAAAAAAAGAAAGAGTAAGAATAGGAAAAAGAAACATAAGACCAAGAGCAGGTGCTACAAAGCACAGCCAAAGATGAAAACCAAAGGTCAGTCCCAGGGAATGTTTATACGTACGGTAGTTAGGACAGCTTTGTAGAAGTGATATAATAGTCAGTGGCAACATCTTCTGTTTACTGAATAGGTGCTAGTATTCACTATAATATAAAACTGTTTTATACCATTATTCCTTTTATTCTTTCAACAACCTTATCAACTAAGTGTTATCTCCTTTTTTTGGAGACAAAATCTCATTTTGTTGTCCTTGGTAGAGTGCTGTGGCGTCAATAGCTCAGAGCAACCTCAAACTCTTAGGCTCGAGCAATCTTCTTGCCTTAGTTTTTCTTTTTTGGGGGCAGGGGGGACAGAGTCTCACTTTGTCACCCTTGGTAGAGTGCTGTGGGGTCATATCTCATAACAACCTCAAACTCTTGGGTTCAAGTGATCTTCTTGCCCCAGCCTCCTGAGTAGCTGGGACTATAGGCGTCTGCCACAACACCGAGCTACTTTTAGAGATGAAGTCTCGTTCTTGCTGAGGCTGGTCTTGAACCTGTGCGCTCAGACAATCCACCTGCCTCCGCCTCCCAGAGTGCTAGGATTAGAGATGTGAGCACCTCACCTGGCCCTTCCTATTCTTCTTTGACTTTTTTGTCCCTAAAATAAACAAACCATCATGCAAATGTGATTTGTGCTTTCTGAGCTGATCCAAACATATGTTGCAGCATGGTCTGGAACAAAGCAATGACATTTAGAATTAGACATCCAGTGTTATTAACATATACAGCTTTATAGTCTTTGTAGTTTCTATTATGTTGCCCTTGAGCTTCTTGAACAGCTTCTGCCTTTCCTAGGCCTTCCTTTAGCTCAGAAGGAGAACTGCAGTTGTTATGGGTAAACTGGCACCATTGTAGTAACACACCTAATGATTGTATCATGACAGTGAAATAGGGTGAATAAGTGACTCTACGAGGAGCAGTTGTGATGTCTATTAGAGGTCCAAATGATCTTTTAACTGATCACAATTTTATTGCCAAATTGAATTCTACTGTCTTCTCAAAGGATGTGCTGACCTTTGTTTGGCTATCTTCTAATATGGTGGCATCAACCAACAAAGCTCTGGTATTGGGGCGGATGGTACCTTGACAAGTTTCTGTGACTTCGGAAGCTCTGGACTTAACAGAAATACTTTTTCAGCCTGCTCAACGTGACCATTAGGCATTTTTTTGTTATTTACCCTACTGATTCTACAAAGACAGCCTTCTCTTCCTTCTTGTTTATGTCCAGGAAGAACAGAATCACAAACCAAACTTTTGTACAACTAACTAGAAAAATTGTGATTAAAAATAGCTAACATTTACTTGCCACAGATCGTATAGTAAACATTTTACTACATACTAGCCATTTAATCCTCACAAAACCCTATGGGATACATTTTGTTATCCTCATTTTTCAGATTAGGAAGCTAAGGCAGAAGAGTTGTGCACCTTGCCCAGGATCACCCCATTAGTAGCTGGAGAAACTGGGGTTTATATTTAGGCAGTCTGGCTCCAGGATCCATGCCCTTGGTCATGGGTTACATTGCCTCTAAATTTCAGCAGATAGGAAGGTGATAACTGCATGGTACCCTGAGGACTGCATTTTGTGATCTGCTGCTTTTTCATTTAGCAGTGTTTCCTAGCTTCTTGGAGTCTTTGATGTCTCCTAGGGGAGATAAATGAAATTCCTGGCATTTTTTCCAAGCCATCCAGCCTCTTAATTCTAAAGCTGAGATGGCTTGGTAGCTGGTAGATCTGGCTTCACAGTTTCTCTGTTGCAGCAAAAAAAATGCTTCAGTATTGGGAACCAGCCTAACCTGAGTTTAAATCTTGGTGTCTTTCCAGCTATCCAATATATACGTACCATGTTCCTAGATGTCAAATACGAGGCTTCTTCATATTGGGTGCTGAGGATACAGTAAACAAAACAATTCTTGCTCTCACAGAATTTAGTCAAGTGAGAGAAGACTGGAAAACAAATTATGTCAAGTGGGATTGCTAAGAGGAAATACAAGGCAAGGAGCCTGGGCATGGTGGCTTATGCCTATAATTTTAGTAGTGTGGGACACTGAGGCAGGAGGATTGCTTGAGCCCAGGAGTTCAAGATCAGCTCAAGCAAGTGTGAGACCTGTCTCTACAGAAAATAGAAAAAATGGGCCAGGTGTGGTGATGTACAACTGTAGTCCCAGCTACCTGAGAGACTGAGGCAGGAGGATCATTTGACTCCAGGAGTTTGAAGATGCAGTGAGCTACGATGATACCACTATACTCTAGCCAGAGTGACAAAGTCAGACTCTGTCTCATGAAAAAAAATAAAATTATATATATATGTATATATATATACACACACACACTTGTGACAAAAGGGTAGAAACTAAGGAGCTACATACATTTATTTATTTATTATTTTTTGAGACAGTGTCATTTGTTGCCCTTGGTAGAGTGCTGTAGTGTCACAGCTCACAGCAACCTCAAACTCTTAGGCTGAACTGATTCTCTTGTCTCAGCCTCTACTCAAGACTACAGGTGCCTACCACAACACCCAGCTATTTATTTATTTATTATTTTTGCAGTTTTTGGCCAAGGCTGGGTTTGAACCCACCCCTCCTGCATATGGGGCCTGCGCCCTACTCCTTTGAGCTACAGGCGCCACCCCCAGCTATTTTTTAAGAGATGGGGTCTTGATCTTGCTCAGGCTGGTCTCCAACCTGTGAGCTCAGGCAATCCACCCACCTTGCCCAAGAGAAACACTATTTTAG